CAGAATATAGTTTATCATCTTCCCGAGGCAATGTAGCATCATTACCTGTCTATTTACCGACTTGTACCTGTCGACCCGTGAAGATTCCGGGGTAGAATAGGTCTTCAGCAACCCATGCTTGCCGTAAAAGGCGTCTAGGCTTGTCGTAAAAGGCGACTTACGGGATCGGGTGGTCAGGCTCGCTGACTTGGTTGATGCATGTCATCGATCCCAATTGCGTGGACCAATGCTCATGATATTACTCACTGGATTGTCTGGTCCAGATTCGATTATGTACAGACTGCCGTCATATAGCTGGAATATTGCTGAGTGCGGCGTTAAACAACAAACAAACAAACAAAACTTACCTGTCTATTTTCTTCCAGGTTTTACACCATGCCGTCTCATAACAGACACCCGGTGGCTGAGTCTATTGACTCAGCAATCCCTCTTGTTTTTTCCACACACCTGGTCCCTCCCACAAGTTTCGTCTCCCCGAAACCTCTCCTCCCCCCGGCCCCCCCGGTCCCCATCCCCTCCCTCTCCCTCGACCTGGGGGACTTACGGAAAACACAGAGACGGGTGGCAGCATTGATGAACATCACCAACCCCAAGGGCGGACTAGGCTCAGTGGTGAGTAGGATATAGTGAGTGAGTGAGTGATACTAATGTAGCGCCGCTTTGAACGTCTTGATGCGGGAGGACGGGACGAAGTGATGCACGTCGTAGACGTTTACCACGTTGGTGAAACCCTCGAGCACGGGTATGGTGTTGAAAAACCTAGAAACATAATCCAGGTGAACCTGGATTCGTTCAAACAATTATAAGTTTCTGGCACGCCTAAGGGACGCAACTCTGCTCAGCAAAATGCGGCGCCTCAAACAACTGGGTCACCAATGGCCCCTAGGATATGGTTAGTTACATGTAATAAGGAATTGGTTAATAGGCTGTAACAATGGGGTGTCAACGTCACTACGCGCGAGATACCAAACAATGTGCTGTATATTAAACATCAGCCGTCCATGATTCCAGCTTTGTTTCTTTTCTCTTCTAGGGGTGGTCGGGTAGCCTAGTGGTTAAAACGTTCGCACGTCACGCCGAAGACCCAGGTTCGATTCCCGACATGAGTACAATGTGGGGAGCCAATTTCTGGTGACCCCCGCCCTGATATAGCTTGAATATTGCTAAAAAAACCGGCGTAAAGCCATACTCACTCAATTTTTCAACTATCTTAAATAAAAAGGATTCCCATAGAATCAAACAAAAGAGAAGAACATTTACAAACAATAGGAATTGCGTGTCATCGTACCCTGGGGGTACGGGCTGATGCTCATGCTATTAGTCACTTGTTTATTCTGAAATCCACCTTAAATCCTTAAACAACAAAACAAAACAACAACAAAACCATAACTAATAATGACATGCAGCAAAACAGGAAGACACTAATTATCTCACTTAATGCGAGGAACATTGAGTGAGTGAGTATGGTTTTACCCCGCTTTTAGCAATATTCAGGCAATATCACGGCGGGGGACACCAGAAATGGGTGTGATGAACATTGAACACGTGGAACATTCCTTTGTGTAAAAATATGAACACACTTATATAGGGTGGTTGAGGAACGGATGTATGATATGAGATGTATAGCTCTATGTTGTTCAAGAAAGTGTCATGAGCATGTATACACATCAAAGATAATAAGTATCACCAAACATGCATAGTTGCATGAAGTGTTCTTTGTCTTTCTGCAATTATTAAATATGAAATGTTGACTTGTTAAATACGAAATGTTGACTACATGTTTCATATGATGAGTAGAGTTTGTTTCGCGTGCCTTATTTCCAAAGCCACCAGTCCAAACGATTGTTGAAAAGGGAGAAGCGACGAAAACCAATAAATAGTATACACCTTATAAAGTATGTCGCGCTACTGCAGGTAAAAAACATGGCCGATTGTGAAAAACTGAACGTGTTTCATGTATTCTGAGCGAGTGTATTGTATAACATGGCGGGATGCTAAATGTAGATTTGTATCATCCAAAGATTTCCATAGGAGATATCGCCCGCGTGAGATATCGCGGCGATAAAGATTACAACACGAGTGTCCGTCAGATTCCATTGATCTTACAACCAGTTGTTCCAAAACGTTATTAACCCGTCTAAAGCCATACAATTTCCGAATCACGAGAAACCTATCAATCGTTTACAATCAGGAGAGTATGATCTGACCTTAGGTCATCACCATGGAGTAGCCAATCACGGACCTGAAATTCGATGTCATACATATGTTTATAAGTTTTCTCACTCACGGGTTTGTAATGTACATAAAGGCGACGAAATCCTGAAGCAGAGTCCATTGAACGATTCCGGCTAAAACATGAGTGAGTGAGTGAGTATGGTTTTACGCCGCTTTTAGCAATATTCCAGCAATATCACGGCGGGGGACACCAGAAATGGGCTTCACACATTGTACCCATGTCGGGAATCGAACCCGGGTCTTCGGCGTGACGAGCGAACGCTTTAACCACTAGGCTACCCGACCACCCCTATATCATGAGCATCACACAGATGAGGACATAAAATTACGTCACAATGCTATGCAGATCATTGCGACGTCATCGGCTACCATAGCGTCACAATAAAATGACATCATTAATCTTTCTGCCACTGAGGCTGGTTTTCTGTACTCTGCTGGTTTTACACTAAGACACTTGTTATTACTGTTTACAAACTGATAGAAAGGTTTTGGATGATCACTTGTGTCTTTTGAGATCACATACATGTACATCAACACCCGTCGCTAAAAGTTTCAAAGTTTAATTTTTTTATTGAGTCGTGTTGATATATTTTGATATCAAAATACACTAGCGTGATATTCTCTATATCATTACCTTAGATAACCTCGTTTAAGATGTTGGTAATGGACGTGTTTATTGATGAAACTTTGACTATGATGAATATCCCTCACTCTCCATGTATCTTATGTGGACCTAAATAAAAGTATTGATTCAGAGGTGTTTGAGAAGTCACAAATGGATTTTGCTTCAACATAAAATTACATTCCGCGGCTAACAGATTCAACTTGAAAAAATCTCTTTGATGAATACAAAATCTGCTGTAAATCTAGCTGTAAATCTGCCTACATGGGACACTACATCTTTGTTTATGCATGTGCTAGGAGCAATGACAATCGAGGCATATTCTCTCACTACGTAACTCGTGCTAATATTGCAGTGAGTGAGTGAGTGAGTGAGTTGGGTTTATTGCCGCTTTTAACAGTATTCCAGTTATATCGCGGCGTGTCAGCTTAATGTGGGAGGGAAGCCCGAAGTGATGCAGGTCTCAGACGTTTACCACTTCGGTGAAACCCACGAGCACGGGTATGGTGCTGACAAACCTAGAAACATAATCGGGGCGAACCGGGATTCGAACCCACAATCATAGGTTTCTGGCGTGCCCAAGGGACGCAACTCTGCACACCGAATCGCGGCGCCTTAGACGACTGGGCCACCCGTGCCCCCTAATATTGCAGTGGATCTATTGGCACACTATACCCTATCAAGCAGCTGCATGTACGACTCCAGTGAACAGTGACAATATGATAGTTATATAACGTAATCTATGCAAGGTTTTGTTGATAACAGTTGCACAAAATAACATCCACATGTGTGTCCATGACATGTTTTCTTAAAATACGGCCTCAATTATTGAAAAATATCTGCGTGTCTTATTGCTATTTAGCACAGTTTATCCGGTTACGTATTTTAGTTATAAGGGCGTATATTGTCACCAGGGCCCACTTGCACAAAGCGATCTTAGCACTAAGATGATCGTAACTCCCATACTTTAACATAGGCTTACGATAGTCTTAGCGCTAAGATTGCTTTGTGCAAGTGGGCCCAGATCATTTTTCAACTCATTCACATTACAACAATATAAACTGCACTGTGGAGGCAGATAATTAGGAGATATTAAATGTTAAATATCTGGGCGTGAAATAATCAACAACACCCGCAAATCTGACAACACATGATGTTAATCGACATTGCGGAAGAATACAACCGTTATAAGTAAAAGTAGCACTTTCTCTCTCTCAACGTCCATTTTTTCAATTATGAGTCAGACATGACGTCACTCTGAAATTCTGCGACGTCACAATGGATGCTGGAATATGCTTCCGTGTTAACTAGTTAAGAGTTTGTCGAAAAAAGAACTAAATCAATGTATATGAAATTGATAATTAATATAGATCAGACTTAAAATCTGATTATAAATCCGAGTATTTATACGCAGTGAAATACTCTAAAGCAGATACCACCTAACAATATCGGTATATGATCTCTGCCTAAAGGTTTCAAGGACCCTATCAACAACGTTTTACAACCAATCAGGTTGCAGCACCCACTCCCATTCATTTAACGATCGGCAATGGCGTACTTGAATTATTTATGCAGGCAGACTGATGTGTTTAAAATGGCGTTCGTACATTTTACCTTACTTCTAAAACTCTTCACTAGTTTTTCAGCACCAGTATTAACACGAGACAGTGCCGTACCTACATGTAACCAAGGCGTGTGTTCACGCCAGTACGTGTGTATGATGCTGAGGCTGAATCACATTCTTTGATGTAAATGGGTTTATCCTGAAATCCTGCTAATTATTTAACGACACAATTATGTACACAATTATGAAGCGGATATTAAAGATGTGCCAGCGGGACAGATTGTTTTTGTTTCTTATTCCAACTCGGAGCGCAGTGCCACTAGATAATTGCGAACGGACATTTCAGAGCAATGAGATTGATTGCGTCCTTCATTGAGCACACCGGTATTCCCCTGGATAACGCATGTTTGGGATCGTCAGAGAGTTTGTCAAACCCTCTAACCTCGAGTCTCAATTAATCTCAACGTGTTTTTATTTTCTCTTGAAACAGAGGTGGGGTTGGGTGGCGTACTACCACAGTGACGTAATAAGAGAACGACCCCTGCCTTGAGTAAGCACGAAGAAAGGTAACACATGAAACATGTTTAACTCAACACGTATCCATATAATTGAGTGGCCCTTCTATTCCTGAGAAGTCACAGTGCACTGTGTTTTGGAAAGGTCGTCCTTCGAGGATACAACTGATTTTGTAAGTAGATATATGTGAGCTATCGCCTAAAACTTTATTTGGACCGAGTAGAAAACGTTTTATTTGAGGTGTTAGAATGTTTCAAAGGTCAGACTCTAGTGGGACCTTCTCTCATGATAGATTCTACACATACGGCACACTTTTGTATAATTTAAATGAGTTGAGGGGAAGATAAGATAATTGCACTTATATAGCGACGTGCATGCATGCACGTGTATGTGTGTGTGGCTGCTTGTACTAGTTCGAACTGCTGCCGATTTTTACAGCTTTTAACGTCTTTTGGTATGACGCGGCCAAGGATCGAACCACGAAACTTTCGCTCTCCGGGCGGACGCTCTACTACTAGACCAAGGAGGCGGTCGTATTATTTGAGTGAGTCATGTTCATTAACACAGCCTAAACGATAAACATCAGTTAAATTAAGTTAAGAGAAGTGTCCTCACATATATGATGCTGAGAAAAGATCTATAACATCACGTCATATCCAGCGTACCCCGATCATATCCAGAGAAACTACAGAGTTAAAACCTGTGTGTGTACATCGCTCCAAATTCAGTTGATTTATCCCATTTGTACTGAATAATCTGCTGAATTCAGTGGGTGTATCCAAACATGTTTAATTTAGGGTGAAAGGTGACCCCGTTGTCTGGGGTACCACAGTTGCGCCCCTTAAGCATTCCAGGATCCCATTGTCATGGGTGGGATCGAATCCGAAACTCACCCTGATTTTGATTCTTGGTTTGTCCACACCATACTTTACCATATTCGCTCGCCCACTCTTCTAAATCCAGTAGGTTTTGGTTTAGGTGCTGTGAAAGGGAACATCATTGTTGTATCCCATGGTGTAGTCTTGGCATACAGATTTACATAGATGTAACGTGAACTATATATCCGATAAATATGCAAATGAGGTCACAATGCAGTAACTATACATCGATGCTTTGCCCACTTGCTCAAAACCATACATTCCCAAAACTTTCCCGCAACGTGAGTGTAACAAACATGGCTGCAAAAAAATTGGGACTATATCATAAACGGGCCAGTTCACTATGTCTTTGTATTATTACGCGATTCATAAAGTTACTTTTATGATCGAAACTATGTGTAAAATGTGATTATATGATAAAGAAATCGTACATAACATTTCCTAATTGTGTTATGCTTGCCAAGGTCCCGCATTATACAATTCTTATACCTAACAAATCCTAAATACCATAAGAAAACACGCCCGGCAAATACCTCCCATGTCTTCACAATGTAGTTACAAAAACAGTGGAATGTGCAAATGCATTTGACATGGCAATACAGATTGTCTCATAATTTTTGTAATTAGAAGCAACAGAGAATGATACGCATTTCGTAAAATCATACAAAGATGACAATAATTTCCTAACCATCAAATGATAAGTAGTGGTGACGTGTAAGCACGTGCGTGCACTCAGCAAAATTCCAGATATATGACGGCTGTCTTAAATTATCGAGTATGAACCAGACAATCTAGTGACTGATATTGTGAGCAACGACCTACACCATCGGGTTAAAGTGATATGCAATCGACCAAGTCGCCGAGCCTGACGACGCGGTCCATTACGTCGCGCCTTACGACCAACAATCGCTGTTGGAGATCTATTTTTATGCGGAACCCCCCAGGCTAATGGTGAAGTAGTCGTGTCTTGAGTAGCTTGTCTAGAAACGTCGTTAAATATCGCTATTAGGCTTTGGAAAATGCTCTTCACAATAAATGACTTTATTTCTTCTTCTTAACGATTAGACACATAACGTATTGTTATTTGTTCTTTGTGTGAGAGCATACGCTGTGAATTATGTCCCTTTGACGTACCAGAAGCTTATAATAGTGGGTTTCAGTTTCGGTTCGTTCGATTATGTTTCTTGGTTTGTCATCATCATACCCATGCTGGTTGGTTTCACCCAAATGGGAAACGTACAAGACCTACATCACTTTGGGCTTTCCTCCCACATCGAGCTGACAAGCTCTGATTTAACTGAAATAAGCATTAAACCCAACTCACTCACTTTGTATAAGATAGTCTCTTTATTTTTGCAGTTTCCATCCACATCGACCCATAAGACCAATTGTATCTTGTGTTATAAAGACATGGGCAACCCATACCACAATGCCCGTGAAGAAAACTACCTCGGCGAACGGGATGAGGATGCAGAGCTCGCTACGAACATACATTTAATGAACACAAAGCCAAACAGGATCGTAATCCCATCCATACTCGATGGGAAAGAAGACACAGACTTGGAATACCTTCCCTATATTCGAGACAGGACATTGACTTCTAGTTCCGGTTCACTACGGCAGTCCATGGGAAGAGTTGTCCTCCCTTCTCTGGGCAACAATCTTGGAAACTCAGATGCGGATGATAAAACAAAGAATTTTATGGACGAAACCGAATTGAGAAGATGTGGGTCTGATGGTGATGGAGAATACAGTACATTGACTGATGGAATCGCTGGGTTGGGAAGAAAAAAGAAATCTATCACCTTTTTTACTGATATTTCTGGTCTTGGTCATTCGTCCGAGGAGGAGAATGAAGGGGAAATCCCAGAAACGAGAGCCATGGAGGTGTTTGTTAAGTACAAAGGCTCATCGGAGAAGTATAGAGCTAAACAGAAGAGTCTTGAAATAAGGGTTGATATTCCCATCAGTAGGCCTTATAGCATCACCTCATCAGCAACTGCATCGAGAGAAACACTTCTGACCTCTCCGGAGGTTTACAGCGCAAGGATGAATTCAGATAAATGGTGCAGTTGTTTGTATGTTAATGCTAAAATGGTCGAGTGCAGAGAGTGTTGTATGAAGGGCGGACATGAGCTGTGGTGTATCTCCCGGACAGGGATATGTGCTGATTGCGGGAAACCAATTAAAGGGGATGGAATCAAATCTTCCAGCTCTTTCGTCAAATCACCAACAAAGATAAGAAGAAGTCTGACTAGTTCATCCCACAACTCTGTTACATGCTCGGGGAAACATACAACCTTAGTTGACAAAACAGAAGATTCTGGTCCCTTGGCAAAGACCGAGAAAAGTAAGAAGAAGAACGCTAAGAAGGTAGACACGGGAGCGGATCAACTCAAGGCACCAGATGCAGTTGAAAGGGGTGGGTCTCGAGTTAGTACCAGACGCTCCTTCAGGTCAGATGCAAACTCTTCAGCCTCAACCATAGATCCTAACATCCACAGACAGGCATACCTTTTGGCTCTGGCAGATGCTGGATTCAAGAAGTGGAAGAAGGGTCCTTTGATGTATCATACCAACAATCGACGTTACTTCTCATATTTTCCGTTGTGGAAGAACCCTAAGCCTCAGGAAGAAGACACTCCTAGGATTGGCATCAGGGGTGATGATGGGAAGAAGTTGAAAATAAAAGATGGTATGAAGCATATTCTTGGTCCGGTGAAAGTGTCGGAGTACTACCCTACAGGGAAAAGGTTCCCTAAAATCAAAGAGGATCCCCTTTAACTCTGATGACAATTTGATTGATAGACAAAGTGATCTATCAACACAAAAACATTATGCTGACACGACTAACATCATCAACTGACGATCATAAGAAAGAATACCGATCAGCTTTTCAAAACTCTGAATAAAAAAACCAACCCAATGTTGATGCAAATGTTGTATTTGAAAGTATAATCATTTGGCGAGATATAACCTCTGATGAACACACTATTGACCATCAGGTGTCAACATCACAGATTCCACACAGCACCAGGGGTAAAATGGGCGATTTCACAGATTACACTCAGGACCACATGTGAGTTTCCACACGACGTCGGACAGAGATCGTTAGGCGTCTAATGACGTCATCAGGAATTTCCCTTCATTGCTCTCTCGGTGCTTGCAAGATCTCTGTCTGTTCATTTGAGGATTGGGACGGCGTCGGATACTCTGGTCAAGATGATCCTAAATGTGTTTTGTGGGTGACATGGCTGGCGAAAGCCCTGGCCTTTGCTATACACTGACGTTGTTTGTGGCCAGAAACTGGTGTACAACACAAGTGAGAGATCTTGCTTTGTCCTGTTGGGCTTCAGAAAGCACTTGATTGCTTTGAAACGTATTGTAATTTGTGGAATTAGTTGTAAACACTGATAAAACGAAGGTCCGTATTCTCGGTGGAACTTAAACTGACAAAAAAGGAAATCTATTTTGAATGACAATTATTTGGATTTGTGGATGAATTTTAGTATCTTTGTATTTATTTCCAAAGTCAAAATAAATTTTCCTAATCTGTTACAATCTGTGACCAAGTAACAAAAGCAATGTATTTTTCTTCCATCAAGCACGTTTACACAATCTCTCCTTAAAATGTCAAATCTATCTTTTTGACCAAAACCAATACTATTCTGTGGATGTGTAATATAGGGTTGTGATCATGGTAAACTAATTGAAAAGGTACATGAAACATTTCTTAGAAAATTATAAGCAGTGAAAAAAAGCACCCCTTTTGCATTACGTTTTGGCGAACTTAGTAGAATCCCACTTTGTTTTGGTGTTGAGTTAAGAATGTTAACTTTTTGGTCGATGCTTATGTCAGAAAAATGTAGCAAACTATCGTATGTATTGTTTTCAAATTTGTACAAATACTCAATTGTAAATCAAAGGATTTAAAAAATGGATGTCTCTTTTTGGAAATATGTTCGATGTATAGGGTATCACAGAGCTTTATATCATCTTCCTGGTTGAAATCATCTGTCTCTCTGATACATATTGGGAAACTTGACATTCGGATATTTCAAACTCTAGTAAATGCTCATCAAAATCGAACTGGGAACATATTTAATAAACATTTCTCCCCAACCAACCCCATTAATGCTATTCTTTAGGACATCTTGTCACCGCTTGCCAACATAAACTTGAAGATGGAATAAAACTCAGTTGAATGAACTTTTATTTAAAGTGTGTGATTGTTGTTGGAAATGAATTCCAGCTATCATCCTGGTCAAAATATAAAATATTCCTGCAGGAGATATTACTCTGGTAACGTATCTCTTCAATCCAACCGACAATCACACCCATATAAATATATTCTATATATAAATAAACATCAACATTCATTTCTAATTTACTAGGTAATATAATATTTATATATATAATAAAGTTCACGTTAGTCCATCATCTTCTTTATATCAGTTTCAGACATAGTACTTTCGCTGTCTCATGACAGCTCTTCAGTGTAACTGACAATGACATATAAGTAAGACGTCATATTATATGTCATTGTCAGTTACACTGAAGAGCTGTCATGAGACAGCGAAAGTACTATGTCTGAAACTGATATAAAGAAGATGATGGACTAACGTGGACTTTATTATTTTATTATATATTACATGTACACCGAGTGAACATTTACCTAATTTTTATATATATACATATATATACCAAATTCCCTGGTTGTAATGCCAGGTGTCAACTTCAGCACATGATAATGATGATGATGATGATGATGATAATGATGATGGTGATGATGATGATGATTAGGGGATTATTCAGTTGATGTGCAAAGGCATGCGAGTTGTTTAATCCTTCCTTAATCTGATTAATGGTCAATCGTTTGAACTTGTTTCACTGGTGATGTTTTTACAAATGAGTTGCCTGACTCAAGCGGATGTTCTAATATCATCAGGTTTTACGTCTAGACACACCATTGGCTAGCATGTAATATCCAGAGCAAGTGCTCGTGTAGATAAGAACTTGATCAATGAAAGCCTGAAACAAGCTTCACTAGCAGCTGCCGATTATAATCCCAAAGATATTTCCAACATGCCTGAAACTGCTCTTTTGTTTCGTATGCTTCTTGAATGGCCCCTTACTACTTAAAATGCTACAAAGGGGTGAAAAGAATCAACAGAATCGCTCTGGTTCTTTATTGGAACTTAGATGGCAGTGATAACCTTATCTCTTGTGACTGGCAAATCTCTGGAGCCACGTTACAAACACCTCAGTCATAAACATTATGTAGAATATAATGCTAATTAAAAAAAGCATGGATGACGGGTGTGCTCTTTCTAGCGCGGATGAATCACTTTAACAACTAAATGAGAATAGAGTAGCGCCATGTAACGCCCCTAGTCACGTGGTCCTTGAGGAATTGTCATATGTCAAGGTCAAAGTTGCAATATTTGAAATGTTTTGGTCCATGACATTTTGGTAAATGTCACTGGCTCCCACTGCCTGGCAACAGACATTGTGCCGATCTGTGTAATCTCGGCAATTCAAGCTCCTTACACCGAAACGACGTCGCATTATATATATTACATTCATTTATACGTGATGAACAGAGCCTCTACATTAACAGATTGTCCTCTGGAGCTCGCCTGGCACGTGGCGGAATGTTTCGGCTGAAATTGGTCTACAATGTATTGAATTCCGTGAAGCATATCGTTCAGTAACACAAAGCAAACATAACAAAGAACGAAATGTATTGATTTAGATTAGAGAGCTATGACCATTTAAGTATTATTTGTCTCTTCGTGCATCATTGATGACATCCACCCACAAAGCAACTGAATACCTTACAACTCTTTGGCGTACATAAAATGTTGATAATGACTTATTCAGACTTTTATAATTATAACACCAATCACTCTCTGACCAGATAGCCCAGTGATGGTTGTGCAGTGCAGAGTTGCGTACATTAGGTTTGCAAGGATCCGGCGATCGTGGGACAGTGCTCCAAGTGACTACCATAGGCGACGACCTAGTCGATCAGATAACGAAAACATTCGCGATTTCATCCCTTAAACCATAAATTGGGAAAAATAGAATTACAACCCATAAGTTAAATCTGTAAAGATACAGCAATGCTGGATAACACAATGCACCATATACTAGTATATCGAGGGAAAACGGGCGAGCAACTCGCCACCAAACTCCCTCCAGAACCTCCGCCTCTCCCTCAGGGATGTTCTATGAATGTACCTCGCTAGGGATATATTTTGCAGTTGACACACAAGATGGGCGGAATGATGTGAAATCAAACGACAATTGTTTTATTTCAGTGGATTGAACTTGCAGCCTTCGTATTTGTAGACCCGTGAAGATTCAAGGGTAGAATAGGTCTTCAGCAACCCATGTTTGCCGTAAAAGGCGACTATGCTTGTCGTAAAAGGCGACTAACGGGATCGGGTGGTCGACTTGGTTGATGCATGTCATCGTATCCCAATTGCGTGGATCGATGCTCATGATATTAATCACTGGATTGTCTGGTCCATACTCGATTATTTACAGACCGCCGTCATATAGCTGCAATATTGCTGAGTGCGGCGTTAAACAACAAAACAACCAACCAATCGTATTTGTACCTCGACAGTGAGCCAGCAAGAGATATTTTACGTCCGTTTCCTAAGGTTCATGGCAAGTTAAATTATTGATTAATTTTGTTTTGAGATGTTTCTTTCTTTTTAATGTCATCACCATGAGGAAGTACTAAGTCAGAGATTTTCCCAGGCAGAGGGTTAAGACTTGAGAACAGTTTTTGATTTTTTTCATGATCCTTTTTGTCTTCCGAATCAGCTTGTTGACAGCTTACCTTGACGAGTCGAAGATTTGTCTGTGTGTTTCAAGTCGCCAACGATGTTTAGCTACTTGCCTCTTAGCTTTAGCATCCTTGACATCAACGACTACTTCTCATATTACTACTGCTGCTGCTACAAGGGTGGCCCAGTCGTCTGAGGCAACGCAATTCGCTGTGCAGAGTTGCTTCCCTTGGACACGCAGAAACCTACGATTGAGGGTTCGAATCCCGGTTCACCCCGATTATGTTTACGTCTAAGCCCTGCATCACATCGGGCTTTCCTCCCACGTCAAGCTGACAAGCGTGATATATGTAGCTACTACTACTACTCCTACTACTCCTACTACTACTACTACTACAAGTATCAACACCCCTACCCGTCACATCCATTTGAACATTAAATGGTCGGTCCTTTAGACTATACGTTTAGACTATACGTTAGACCCTGCATAACAGAATTCAGTATTTTGTATTAGGAACAAACAATGGTGCTGTCAGATGAGATCAGAAAGATAATCGGGAGTTAACGTATTTACCATTTTATAGGAGAGCATCATTTAAAAATAATTTTCCCGAGAGATTTAAACTTTATTTTTTCTTATATCTTTTCATGACTAGTACTTCTGGGAACCCCGCAAATTGTTCTTCAAGCATTCGGGGCGGTCGGGTAGCCTAGTGGTTAAAGCGTTAGCTCGTCACGCCGAAGACCCGGGTTCGATTCCCGACATGGGTACAATGTGTGAAGCCCATTTCTGGTGTCCCCCGCCGTGATATTGCTGGAATATTGCTAAAAGCGGCGTAAAACCATACTCACTCACTCTTCAAGCATTCAGGTGAGCTTTTCTAATATTTGAATATGATCTATCGTACAATTATCCCATATATTACTACAATAGTTCAAAGGTTTATCAAAGGTAAGTATATCAACACGACATTTGATCGCAGTAGGAACGAGAATACATAGGCATAGTTTAACCATCAAGTTGACACAGAGGCCTCTCATCTGACAAAATATAAAACTAAACAACAGACCACAGATTGAGATTTGACATGGATTATGTTTTGGCTATGTGCATTTGCATATGTTACATGGTTCGACGTTCATATATCATGGCTCTCCCTCTCTGAAGGTGCATACTCCACTACACGCACACACAGTGAAGACAGTTGGTAATATTCGTCATGTCTTTATGTGTTTGGTATCTCGAAGGGTACGGGAGCCTTTTAGGGCCATTTGTTTTTAAATTTTTTCGATACTATCTTGAAATTTCAAGATACTAAGTTGAAATTTCAAGATACTTTCTTGAAATTTTAAGATACTAAGTTGAAATTTCAAGATAATAAGTTTTTAACATCCTAAGATGTAAAAATACGTTTGAAGTGAATAATCTTGAAATATCAACTTAGTATCTTGAAATTTCAAGATAGTATCTTGAAATTTCAACTTAGTATCTTGAAATTTCAACTTAGTATCTTGAAATTTCAAGATAGTATCGAAAAAAAAAAAAAAAAAATGGCCCTAAAAGGCATCCGTACGAAGGGTGTCTACACAGGTTAATGTTCGTACATACATGTTTACACCGATAGTGAGTGAGTATGGTTTTACGCCGCTTTTAGCAATATTCCAGCAATATCACGGCGGGGGGACGCCAGAAATGGGCTTCACACATTGTACCCATGTCGGGTTTACACTAAAAGCCATACAGATAGCTGTGAATCCAAAGAGGGAAAATAATTTCTTCAAAACTAGTGATGGTATAAGTGATGCTCATACAGTAACATCCTTTGTAGTTTGAATACAAGAAGTAAATTTGAACACTATCATCTCTATTATGTCAGTCAAGCGTTAATTTCCCCTTCATGTCGAGAAATATACCATCAGCTCCAGATTATAGTGTCTACATGTCTCAACTGCTTGATACCACACTTAGAATAGGATGATCTAAGCGATGCTCGGGGTAAACAACACATGTTTATTTGTGGCTCCACAACGTCTGTTTAGACTTACTTCAATTGGGAATTTAACGTGCGCTTTCCGACATATGCGTATTTCGCGCACGGGCCCGCCAGGCCATATAGTGATTGGTCGAAAAGGGTATGTCCGAAAAGGTGAGGCAACCTAGGGGGCTTTTAGGGTTGCTTACTTAATTTTGGAGAACAAATTTTGAATTTTGAAATATGCCATGCAGAAGGTGTGGTGGACAAAGTGGAGTTTTTGTAAGGTTGTGTGGCTGTGTGTTTTTATAGATTTAGAATTTTAGGGTCATTGACAGCATGTTTGTTTGTTTTTTTGATGCGGTCGAGTAGGCCTGTTTTGATTAGATAGATACCTTGTGCTTTATAGGTATGTAAGTCATTTAGGGGGTTTAGTAGCGTTGCTAGTGGCATTTGATTGTTGCAGTTTAGTGTGGATTGGAGTGTTGTTCTGTGTTGCTGGTAATGTGTGCAATATAGTATTACGTCTTCAGGAGTTTCTTTTAAGTTGCAGTGGGGGCATTTACCGGTTTGGTGTTTTTTAATTGGTGCATGTATCTATTTAGAGTGAATTATGTGTGTATTATAGTGTCGTGCATAAACTTACACGTATTAACTTCTATTTAGACCACACGTCTGATGTGTATCAGGCGCAGGTAAAGTGTAAACTGCCCAGGTCTATTCCCTGGTCAGTGTTATGGTTTTCATTTCAATAATGTCCCCATGCTAATTCGGATAGCCCCTGTCAAGTATCAGTCTCAACGGCCATACGCCATTAGTCATACGTCCATTTGTTTCCCCCCATTTGTTATACAGCAAAGTAGAGGTAAACATAATCAAAAGTAATCACATCCGGTAGGACATGCCTACCATTTTCGCGGTGTCATCACCGATTTTCAGTGACCCATTCACATAATTGCCATGACAATTTTGCCTTTGCCAATGGAAAGATATTTGAGATTGAGCTGACGTGCTGAGTATCAAAATATTAACGCCATACGTCCGCGTTTATAATAGCCACAGTCATAATACAATTAATATTCATATTGCGAACACACTACGTCAGTGCCCTGTGATCGTGACTGATCATGACGGCCAACACAACATAGCATCAGGTGGAAATGGGCGAAATGGGCCAAGCGCCGGTCGAGTCCACTTCCGTATAGGGTTGGCAAACCAGCTAATATTTGTTTTTGCTTGATATTTGACATATATTGATCGTCATCTGGTATAACCCTCCTGATTATGCCTAGGATGATATGGGAAGGGAAGATCCTCGGAAAGAAAGCTTCGGGAAAGTGACCCCTCGGGTTTCGCCATCGGTCTTACTTTCCCTCGGCTTTGCTTCCTCGAGTCTAACAACCCCTCGCCTTACCTCGGAGTCGTGCAGAAATACATGCTCTTCATTACATTATTTCATTGCGATTGTTCTATGGCAATTTATGTTACTGATAAGGACTGCTCGGATATCAACTTACTTCGACACGATTGCACAGTGCACAGTATCCTCGGGCGTGATCGGCCATGTATTGATTGACGAGCGAATTTCGTGATAAGTTAATGAGTTTCATGGACCAAGGGGCGGGCCTGGGGACCATCAATGCGTGCGTCATCTTCTGGCATATTCCCAGCTCAACACTTGACTGGAGCGAATCTGTTTTATAATGGACCACTGAGCTGTTGTCAGTCCATTGCAGACGTGGAGCACCTTCCGATAGGGGTCTGTTTGTTTCGCCCACCTATTGTTTAGGATAGACGGTGAAGGATACACCACCGAGGATAAACCCCAGCGTCAACCTCGCCACCCCCATAAATCAACCCAATGTTGTAACACGTGCTTGCCACGCATGGATTAACTCACTTTCTAACAGATCACAGACGCAGGACTCTAAGTAAGTAGATTTTGCTGTAATTTAGTTTTAGAATACGACATTGTGTGTCCTTTGTGTCTCGTGAGTCAATTATGGCTGGACGCACTTCTGTTACAGTGAATGTTATACAATGCAATGCAATACATAACAGTTTATTATAGAATCGCCGTTTGTACAGTACACGGCATTAAACAACAAATACCACAATGCATGATGTATTGTGTGTATCAGCGGAAATTGTTTCCAGAAAATGCTATTTTTAACCCCTTGCCAATGATAGCGTAAAGCACGTGTTTATGTCTTGTAGGATCAATATGAATGACCGACATTTACTCTTCAACACCATATGTGATATTCTGGATGTAAATGTTTTTATTAGGATCTGGGAGAAAGATGATGTTGTAATTCTTGCATTTTTACTTGGTGGATGTCCAATAGAATATACTATGGAATTAGAAAGAGATGTGTGGGCAGAAGTAATCATTAATGTAAGCCACTTTTTAAGGAAATGGCGATACCTGCCAGAAAACGTGTTTGTTGAACATGCTTAAATATACCCCCAGTCCATGTCAAACATGCAACCATATTATCTCTGCATATTGTAATCTTCATTCACTTGGAGGGGCGGTCGGGTAGCCTTGTGGTTAAAGCGTCCGCTCGTCACGCCGAAGACCCAGGTTCGAATCCAAACACGGGAGCAATGTGTGAAGCCAATTTCTGGTGTCCCCCGCCGTGATATTGCTGGAATATTGCTAAACACAGCGTAAAACCATACTCACTCACTCATTCCATTGGAGGATATCTATCTATCTATGTATCTATCTATATAAACATACACTATGTGCCAGCATCACAGAGACATACAGACAGAAGTATATAGATTCATTCATTATAAATATATAAGAACGCAGATGTAAATATACATACCTCATACATGAGTACATACCTGCAAATATTATTAATCCAAACGCGCGCATATTCGCGCATATTCACACACACGAACATCAGAAAACAACTGACACACATGCACACACGCACGCAAACGCACACCAGGCAGACACACGAACATGCACTAACACACACACAGACGCACACAAACATATACACTCAACTTACTCAGGTTCATACAAACATATTAACACACGTTCATATTTTATAGAATACATGCATACATGACTAAGTTGAATACCAGTGTAATTATTAACATGCAATGGGCTTAGGCACAGTAAAATAATATGATATAATACAAGAGTAGTGATTTGCGAAACAGTTTTCGACGAAAAAAAAGTTTTAAAAAACATGGTAGCTATTGCAGGTACTAGGTTGCTGTCATTAAATAAATTATTCATATCAGTAGTAAAGTTTTGGTGCAATAAGGTTGGTAATTCTGCACAGATTCAGTACAAGATTTACCGTTTGATTGTTTGTTTGATTTGCCGCACTTAGCACTATTCCAGCTGTATGACGGCGGTATGTAAATAATGGAGTCTGGACCAGACAATCCAGTGATTGATATCATGAGCATCGATCTATGCAATTGGGATACGATGACATGCATCAACCAGGTCAGCGAGTCTGACCACCCGATCCCGTTAGTCGCCTCTTACGACAAGCATAGTCGCCTCTTATTGCAAGCATGGGTTGCGGAATATCTATTCTATCCCGGATCTTCACGGGTCACAAAATATGCAGAATCTCATTCGTGACCAACCCGTGTTATTCCGGGACAAGCCGAATAGCGAGGCTATGGAAAGGGGTGAGTGGTGACGAATGGCAGAATCTTTGTTTTGTTTTCTTTGTTGTTTAACGCCGCACTTAATATTCAAGCTATATGACGGCTGTCTGTAAATAATCGAGTATGGACCAGATAATCCAGTGATTGACATCATGAGCATCGATCCACGCAAATGTGATACGTTGACATGAAATCGAAATCAGCGAGCCCGATCCCGTATGGCTAAGGAAACCCAGTGCTCGTGATGCAGATTTCACCACTTGACCATGTAGCATATCACTAGAACATGCAACCACAGCCCGAGGTAAGTCGATTGTCACGTGACTACAGGTCACTCAGTGTCTATTTCCGCATACCTACATATAGGATGATTATCAACACTTGAGGGCTGTCCGCGTCTGGACCTAGCTTCGAGATTGGTTTAAGCTTGCCTCGATTCCAGATGCTAGGTCCTATGTCGAACATGTGTGATTTAATTCTATACATTAATTCAGTAAATACATCATTTTTCACACGATACTTGGAGTATTATAGAGTCCTGTTGCTTTCCCAATCTTTGCTTTGTATGTGGCAAATTCAATTTTTCAACCCTGCTATAATTGGACGTGTAACACATGTGAAGCATTGCCTTCCTCTTCCTGGTTTGAGTCAGGTCTGCATGTAGTCCCTGCAAGATATTCGTCATCGGCATCGCCTGCAGTATCCTGTGTAGGATTATATATCGTCTTGTTATCATCCCTCTTTTATGACCGCATCTGTAGCAGTATTCACTGACCCTTCAATATCAACAATTTTCATAGGAATAATAGTCTTCCTCTCGTTACTAGTTCCAACTTTTCTAAATTTCCCTCAGTTAATATTTGTGATAGGTTTGACATATGGACTCTGGCTATCGATTTTTTTTCTGTAGATTGATATGCTATGTCAGCTTTCTTTGAACTCTTATCAAAGAAATATCCATTGGTCCACGTTTCAACTGTTTATTCCCTTTTAATTTCAACAAGGCCTTCTCTCTCTCTCTCTCTCTCTCTCTCTCACACAGACACACACTACGCGTACACTTCTGTGCATAAAGTATTCCACTTGGCAGTTTATCACTCATCTCAACTGATGTTGCCAGACTTATAAACCTCTGATGACGTCACACTAAGTAACAGAAGGTTTTTCAAAATGTTGGTAAACATCCCGGGGCGGTCGGGTAGCCTAGTGGTTAAAGCGTTCGATCGTCACAACAAAGACCCGGTTTCGATTCCCGACATGGGTACAATGTGTGAAGCCCATTTCTGGTGTCCCCCGCCGTGATATTGGTGGAAAATTGCTAAAGGCTGCGTAAAACCATACTCACTCACTCAGTTGATGGGAGGTTGGTCTGCTTATCATGTCATGACTCCAGCTAGGCCATGCTGCACGTTGGTTTTCTCTCCCATGCTTTGAGCGAATTCCTTTTATAACACGATACACTGTATTCTTTCACTACAATGTGTGTCGATCTTTTTTTTTTCTTGAATTTCTTGCATTTAGACTTTTCCCTCGCTCGCGGTTTTACATTTTCAGCCAAAACGTCGGAGGAGCGTTTATTCCTATACAATAAACACCAGGGTGCCGTTCTACAAAGCGATCTTAGCGCTAAGGTGATCGTAACTCCCATACCTTAACATAGACTTACGACAGTCGTAGCGCTAAGGTTGTTTTGTACAACGGCACCCAGGTCAACATCATTGCCTTTAAGGGCTTGTTCCGTACAGGATAAGTAATGTGTCCTGTACTTTATTATGAGCATCTTCATTAATAGAAAAAACTTGGTAGACATGTTTAATGTATAGTATCGTTTTTCTCTTCTGATTTCATCCATAACTAAAGTAGAATCATTATAATCAACTTCAAATCTTATAGTACACTCAAGAAGACTGTGGTCTGAGGTTTCACAGCTTAGCGGGATGTCAGAATTGCCGATGAGCTTTGAAAGCAAAATGTACCTAAACGTCTGTACAGTCTGATACTTGTTCGTATGGGACAGCTGCTAATATACAACTGATTTACCTCTGCGTGGACTCCTGATGTCCAAGGCTACCATTGAACATACACATATTAGAGTATGTTAGAAAATTATTAAACAGATCTTTGCAGTACCATTACATGAGATAGCCCTCCAATGAAATGAGAAGCCTCTGTCTTTCGTGTATTGGCGGCCGAGTTTCGCACACTGGTGATCTACTTTCACACACTGGCGACTAATAATAGACCAGTGGGGCGGGGATCAGACAAATCTCATTTATATATACAGATCATTAATCCGCTCTAAATTGGACTTTGGCTCCATCATGATGCTAGAGCTTGCGCGCCATTGTGTATGCTAGAGCTTGCATGAGTAATTTGAAACAACAAGATGCAATCCACCATCAACATCTTCCTGAGGCAAGTGAGTTAACTGACCATAAAAGTCCAGTTTCCACCCTTGTCGAACTAGGCTGGAATCGATCGTAGCGCCACCAATGCTATTACGAGTTATGTCCCTTCTATGTCTCCCCTACACGTTCCTTCCCAGCGCGTGACACCTTCGTTACACTCTCGGCAACATCGCTGCTAGCAGTGTGGGCGCGGCCATTGCAAGAATCTTGAAATTTGCACTATAACCCCAAATGTAGTAACGTTGATACTTTTGTTTATGTCTTTGGGAATACTAATACTGTTATTTTTTATAAGGTTTTTCGACTGACCTTATTTCCCAGATGAATTTAACTTTTTGTTTGTTTGATCAGATTGGTTCGAGATTGCCGACGAACGGAAAATCACTTAAAACCCCCCTTACATTCTTACTATATCATTTACGTGAAAGTTGAAAGGAAATAGAATTTAAAATTGACAAACAAAGTAAATTATTTAGTTAGGGTAAGAGTATTCGGCGTCACGGCAGTCATGCTTGTTTGTAAGCATAACAGTCCGTCGCACTCTATTACCCAGAGCTCCATGCTATGTCACCACTGAGACGGAGTGTGGGTCCGTCGGTTGCGAGTTGAACTCCAAGCATGGTTAGTTTTGACTGGTGGCAGCGATAGTATAGAGAGCTCAGCGAACGGGCTATCGATGTGAGGAGCTTGTCTCCCACTAATGACCAATCGTATTCCACTTCTCATATCACTTGCATTTGCTTCAAACAAAATGGCGATGCCCAGTCAAGACGATCTAATCGATAATCAAGATCTATATTGTATTAACGAGTCTTGCCTAGCGAAGTGCATCAGATCACTTGAGCTCCTTGACTGAAAACATGAGAAGATTTGCAAAG